TGCTATACTGTGTGTGGTATTGTGATAGTGCGATGGTACACATGGTTGATCCATCAGCCAGGGCCGGTCACACAGCAGGAAGGTACAGTACAGTTAACGCAGGAGAACGCGGTGGCGCCTTCTTTATTTGACGGGTCTGTTTCCATCACGATTATTCCACAAATTTCACGTGTTTGACCTCAGAGCAAACAGCATTTCTATGATACATGCGTTTCAGAAGTCTTCGTGTGACCACAGCAGTTTGCCATATATGACACCTACTTCTACAGTTCTTCGCGTGGCGGCTGGTTTGTAAAAGCTGAAAACCCATGCCTTGCTTTCGCGGATTCAGCACGGTAGAAAAAAACACCAAACCCACACCAATAACAACAAAAAAGAAAAAGGACTTGCCTTAGGCTTGACGTGGAAGTTAAAGGTGGAGAGGAAGCCGATCCCTTGAATGGTGATATGCTTCGTGTGGGACGCGTAGACGTGCAGGTGGCTCTCCGACACCGACGGGTCGTCCAAGATGGTCGCCACCTTAAGCCCGGGGCTCGTGTAGTCCACCTCTTCCTCGTCGCCCTGCTCAGGCCACGCCAAGAAAAAGATGATGCAGTGCAGCGCACCGGAGAGTCAAGACAAGACAAGACGGCAAAAAAATAAATCAGAAAATCAGAACGCCTCGAAAAGTAAAAGTTTGTCGATGACAGTAAGGTCAGGACCGTTTGAGCCACCAGAACCTAGGACGACGACGACTGTCGTAGGTGACATGACATGACGTAATATAGCACACCCCCTGTAGCGACTTTCAAAGCTCGACTACTCCACGACGACGGCTACGCATGGTGGATATCTACATGAAACGATAATATTACGTTGTCAGAAAGCTCTCGACGAGGCGGTNGGAAAGTCTTGTTGATTTTACTCGCTTGAAGGAACAAACGAACATGACGGAAACAGAAAAAAGGAGATTGTACGTCCTTCTTCAGATTTTACTGGGTTAAAAGAACAGCAATGAAAGGACTAGAGACAGAGACAGAGAGACAGAGAGAGGAAAAGTTGCAGGACGCAAGCACCAGCAGCAGCAACAAAACGCGAAGCGTGCCCCATTACCTCCGCCTCTCCGAACTTAGCCTTAAGCAGGTACAACGACCCTCCCTGTTGGGCCCACTTGCTGTCCCCCTCCAACTTCACCGCCAGCCGCGTTTCCGACAGGATAGAGCACGAGAAAGTGCCTTCCTTCGGACCCCCGAACCCGAATTCTAGATGGGCCTCCTTATCCGTAGGAAACCTATCCCCTTCGAGTATCAATGTGTTCTTGCTCGACTGGAGCATCGACAGAACAAAACGAAACAAGATGGGTGCGACCCGTGATGCTTAGTGACAGCGGGCAAGCGTTCAGTGGAGCCTTTGGGGGACTCTTTCTCGTCGACAGCCCAAGGTTTCGAAAGGGGAAAGGATAAGGATAAGGATGGGGAGCGAGGGAGGGGGGGAGGGAAGGAGGGAAGGACACTCTTCATTGAACGAGGTTTGCTCCAACATCCGCTTTGGATAGAGACTGGTAAATGATATTGCTTGGTTCGGTAAGGTTCGCTGGGATCTTCGAGTCGAAACACGTCAGATGTGCGAGCTGTTGGAACGTCACGACTGGCGGCTGGTAGCCAGTTGTGGGCTGGTCTTGCTTTACTTCCACCTTGCATCACCTCCTTGTGACATCACTGTGCTCTCATGAGCACACCCACTCCGGAGGAACACTTTAACAGCTCTAACATGGGTTTTGTGGCACTCCGCAAGCATGCTTTTGGGGGCGGCCTGTTCGGGCAGAAAATAGACGAAGCAGCTGCAGCGGCAGCAAACTATCCCTACAGCATTGGCACCAGCAGTCACAGCCACTCACAAGCAAAAAGCTTGACGAAGCGAACGACCAGGGGTCAACGACGAGCACGGCATGGCCACGACTCTAGCACACCTGATAGAGCTGCGTGGCGTAGTTGTGCTTCAGGTGGATGCCGCTCCTATAGGGATCGTCGTCGGACACAACTACGGCAATAGGAACGGGCTGCAGACGAGAAACAGCACACAACCAAAAGAACAAAAACACACGAGAGAGTTACCGGTGGACTCGAGGGTGAAGGTCACTTTTTACCATCTCGCACGCTACAAACCAACAACAACGACAACGTACAGCAGCAGCAGCAGCAAACAANTACCGGTGGACTCGAGGGTGAAGGTCACTTTTTACCATCTCGCACGCTACGAACCAACAGCAACGACAACATACAGCAGCAGCAGCAAACACAAACATGAGCATGAAACGACAACAGCAGCAACAACAGCGGCGCCGGCAGCCTACAGCATGTCAGCATTCGGCCATCTTTGTCTTCACTTCGAGGCGTGAACAAAACAACTTCCGTGCCCAGCAGTTAGCTCAACACGGCTCGAAAACCCTCAATTTCACCTACTCCATGAAATTTGCGTGGGGGGAAGTAGATTGAAACGTCCCTTTGCTACTCCAAATCGATGCAGTGAACCGCAACACACAAAACAAAAACAAGCCATGTCAAGGAACGCACCAGCACACGTTCGTGTCTTGATTTGTTCGTCGGCAAGAGCAATATCCGTACAGCAGTACAGTACACATACCACATAATCACAACGCTTATCATCACTACTTCCGTTGTAAGCTTTACCTTCGACTTGTTGGTCTTCTGTGTCGACACAAAATGGCACAAGAACGCCCAACCTGATGGACTGACTCCCTACGGTACTGGCACACGCCACACACAATAACCTTCAACACCGGATGACGCCCACCCGGAAGAAGCTGTACACATTGTATTGTATGCATACCTCATCCATCGCATACATCCCGCCGCCGGTGTTGATCGCCCGCACTCGGAGGTTTCCCGTTTCCCCCCGAGGCATCCACCCTCCACCGAAGCTTGCCAAAGAAAGCTTCACGGCAGTGCGATTTACAACCTGGTGAGTTAGAAAAATCAGGACATACAGTAGCACAGAGGGTTTTGAGGATAAGAAAATAGGACGCAGGCATGCTATCTAACACGATGAGTCAATCGGTACGGCCGTTTCCTGGATTCGCTCCTATCCACGTGTTGTACTTCAGATTTTGGACATAATTTCTGTCCGTGTACCTGTCTTTGTCTTGTTCTCAATGAATCCACAGCAGCGTTACAATACCTGGCCAACTTGTAATTCGACTGATCCCCGAGCACCGTCATTTTTATACACGCGAAAACTACCATTACTAGAGTGGCACGATAGCAACAAATCACACACACAAAGGTTCGTGTAACTAGAGTTGATTGTACAATTCCGGTGAACTTCAGTGAACTTACTCGTCACGCACGCATGCGTCAATCGTTTCAACAACGGAATTCGACAATTGCACGCACGCTCATTTTATTTCAGCGATAGATACGCTATAAAACCTATAAGGCTGAGTCTTGCGGTCTGATTATTTCCGGATTGGATTGGGGGGGGGGGGG